GCTTTAATGACTCCGTTTGTAATAAATATTTTTTGTTTACCACATAACGTTAGTTCTTCCTCCACAGCGAATAAGATACTACTTAAGTGCAGGCGTTACGTTTTGTATTTGTATAATATTTACTATAGATATTCTTACATCTTATATGTAGAAAGCTCAGCAACTTTTGATATTTTCATTATTTTGTAATTTAATAATCTTTCTGGATTTGAACTAAAATTATTTCACCATACAGAGCTTTTTAAACGTGAAAGATGAAAAGTGTGAAAGATAGTGACATTTAGATATGTTGACGAAAAGCGATTAGCTTCCATAGATATGCGAAGAAGTAGGGATACGAAGTAGGGATACGAAGTAGGGAACAGTTGAACAAAAAAAAAGACGATATCGAATCAATAGTTTCTCATACATAACTTCGAGTTACAAAAGTATCAGTGATAGAAGTATAACATATAGAGACAAAGTCCAATTAGGAAGCTCCAGCTTTTGCGATTCGCCTGTATACGAAGCGTGATAAGAAGTGACCTAACATACAGAATTACTTAACATTTCCCCGAACTCTAATCACAGAAAGAAAACTTCGTTTTACACGATCCTCTAGTGAAGCCGGTTACTGTGGGGTGACTAATTTTGCTGTGGCTTTGGTTTGTTTCCGGGCATAATTATCTCTATATTTATCGAATAAGATAATTAAATTGATAACAATAAGATAATTAAGTTTTTAATATTTTTATTCAAACAGAAACAACATATCAGAATAACAAATATTTTTTATTCAAACAGAAACAAACTGAAAGAGTAAGAAAATGTAATAATTTAATATTATTCGATAAATATAAAGATAATTATGCCGGAAAACAAAACGAAGGCACAGACAGCAGAGTTGGTCACCCCACAGTAACCGGCTCCACTATTCTTCTACCTTCCGTAACAATCGGCGTGTGCGAGCGACCGTGCAGCGTCTCTCCCGTTAGAAGTCGAAATAATCTCGTGTATATACGTTTCCGGGTGCCCCGGGTATTTCGAGAATCGTCGGTAACGCAAATCATGCAGACACCTTCGAACATGACCGAGCTCTGCCGACGTAGTTACGGGAACCGGCCAGTTTTCTCGACGTCGTACCTTTCGCGAGACCTAGCAGGCACCCGCTCGAATCGGGCTGCTCGTCTGAACGCGTTGAATATTCATCGTTGGAATCTGGATTGCGTCGGAGATCGATCGGTGGTGTCGTTAACGATGCGAATATAGACATCATTGATACACAGTGGTTGAGCGTCGGGCGCGACGAGTACGGCGCCAACAACGCGAGACGAATCACGACGCCCAAACGTGATTGAGTAATTACGATCGCGGCTCGGAACCCGATTCCTTCTGCCACTCGAGTCTCGTCCCGCGCCTTCTTGAAATCGGTCGAATTTTCCGTGCCGATCGACAGTAGTTCTCGATCGAGGACGACCTGGGTTTGGGCGCACCCTCGATCCAAATGATCGAGCGTCGACGAAGTTCTCAATTTCGATCGGAATTCGGAATTGCTCGTGTCTCCCAGCTTTCCGCCTTGCCGGGAGCCTAACTAAGTGCATATCGATGCGCATATAGGACGGCTATAGTTTTCAGTAATATGGTCGCTCCGCTCTTTACCGGTCACATACCATAGCGCAGTCTTTCTCTCTTGCTCCCTCTTTTCTTCGCGCCTTCGGCTTCTTTTTCCGTCTTCCTCCGTTTCCCTTGCCTACTTACCGCGAGCTCCGCTGCCCGTAGTACATATTTACGTTGCGTGCGAACATGAAGCCGGTGCAAACTGTTATTTTGCTGGACGCGTAAGTAAAGGATCCCGCCGGACTGATTTTCTGCCTGCTTTTGTTACTTTTCTCATCCTACGTAAAGCTACCATGATCGCAGTTGACGAATACGGTTTTTCGTATTACTTGCCGATTTTCAGTCAGTTTCTTCTGGTCCGTTCGTTGAATTGCTTTACAATTGGTTTACACAGAAGAACGTGTGACAGAAAAAGGTAGCGCATTTTTGAAATTGCTCTTCTCTGCCAGTGCTGAGTTGCTCGTTCGCCCAAACGCGTTGTTAACGCGTTAACGCCAAATATTGTGTAAGATTGTGATTTTACTGGGTTGTGGTTCAAGATCAAATGTTTTCATTCTTTACATTTGGAACGGTTTTTTCAAATTTTTCCATGTCGAAAGTTACGAAAGTGGTAATCGTTAAGTGATTTAGAAGTTCTTGAGAAATGTTAAGAAGTGGGAAAGAATGCACAGAATATACAAAAAGGATGATATATATAAGTCTCATGAGGAACATGTGATTATTAAGGAGAACATCGAATCCTGTTGCAAGTTTAAAAGAGATCGCAATGGAAATTGGAATATAAATTGCGTAGTATACAATATGTAAACACTTGAAACTAGGAAAATAATACATTAGAAACAATACTAGGAAAATAATCCTAGGAAAATGAGAGATACCGTTAACAAGGGTACACATGGAAGCTTGTTTGCAATTTTTCGAAAAGTACATTTGTCACTATTTTCACGATTTGAAAAAGGAAACGAGGATGTTAAGATGTTGAAATCGAAATGGAGGTATAACGATCTAGTTTGACGTCGGAAATTTCAAAAATACTGATATCAAAATTTTAAATGGTTACAAAATAGATCGAGAAATATGCATCTAAAATTATGAGTTAAAGTTTGTTTTCAATAGGACAATGCGAGAGTCCATATACCAAAATTTATGGACAAGTATCACAAATAGGAAAATATGCAAATTTTAGACTCGCCAACAAGATCTCACAATTAGAACGTTATCGAAAGTTGGTAGACACAAGCAGAAAAATCGGTATATACTAATGGCAAACAATTCATCATTGTAGAAGAACTGAGAACAGTATGTGATCTGTTTGATACATAGATTGCCAATCATTCTATAATATTGTAAAATAATATGTTCCACACTGATAACCAGTTAGCTGTTTTTGACGAGTATATTCGTCATGCGTAAAAAGTAGTTACAATGTGATGTTTAAATTGCAATTTTAGTGGAAACTAAAATATATTCGTAAATTTTGAAATATCAAGACGAAATAAAACAAACAGATAAAAAAATATAAATAATTATTATGAAAAAACTGTATACAGCGTGAACGATGTATTATGCGTTGTTAGTCATCGCTGCATTGCTTACTTTTCGCGACACTTACTTTTTGCGTTTAATGAGGTCGCAACAGCTGATCGGTTAAGAAATGTGCTAACACATAACAAAATAGTTTGCAATTTGGTCTAAACACGATATACGTCGAAGGCAATGTAATGTGTTATTTCACAAGTTGAATAGAGTTATACCTGTATGGTGTGCTACCTTTTTATCGGGAGGTGTACCCGTACGATTATCACTTTAACCGAACTGCCACGTGGTTCGTACGTGGATAGCACAATTCTTCATCTATAGAGTTAAAAAGCAATTTTTATAGTGATACGTATTATAAATACTGAGAGGAGCAAATTTTGTTGGAACGATTTTTTTTTCACGCGCGGAAAGTCGGAATTAATTTTGTGTACGTTATTTAGCACCAGAATAACAAGACTCGTCGAAAAGAGACGGGCTAAAGAGTTTTTAATATAGAATTAGTGAGATTGTAAAGAATCATTTCAAGCAAAATTATTACAAAATCGGAGTAAATATATTTTCGCCATTTTTATCAAATAATATAAAATAAACAATTCATTGCTTCAGTGTTCGAAAAGAACTTTGTAGCTGTGAATGCTGTTAAAAGATTTTGTGGGATCTTTATGGCTGCTATCTCGGCAGTCGGCGTTTTAATGTGCTTAATGGTACGTTAATTTTTGATCCTATCGTGCGACAAATGTCGTCGACCGACACGGTAAATTATGTCCAGTAAATTCACGATTTTAGATCGTGATTTATAACGGAAAGCAATCAGAAGTGTAGTATTCAAATAGTATTCAAATAACCACTGTATGTCGTCAGTTGTTCGCAATTAGGTTCGCATTAACGATATTCGAGGGTGGGGCACCTGGATAGTAACATAATAAAATTGATTTTCTGCACGTTATTATTTATAGTAGTAATTAGACTATGTACGCATTTATAACATTTATAAAGTACACGAAAATGTATATTTACAGAAATTAACAATATTTTTGTTTCATTGTTATTACAAGAAATTTCCTAATTCGAGAAACAAAATTGTTGTTTTATATTAACTTTAACAAAATAATTGATGAAAATCGAGATTCATGTGCGTTTATGTATGTATGTTTTATGAAATTTTGTCCATATTTCGACGAAGAGAGATACGTTATACAGTAACTTGGTAAAGATATAACTTGAGATTGTCTATGTTTCTTTACAAGAATTACTGCAAATGCTTATTTTTCCTTCAGATTTTGGAATGATAAAGATTAACCTTTCTCTCAAAATATTGTCATAATTTTCTAAAAATACTTCAACTATATCTTAAAAATACTTACAAGTAGCAGGCTACAAAGATCAGAGTGTGCAACAAATTTTACAATTTGCGCGTATGGCAGGGTTATACTGCACGCACTCCAATTATCTCAGTCTCATGATTAGACTGGAGATTTTATGGACTTGTGACAAAAAATGGTTAGACGTAGTTGAAAACAGTGAAAGTATTAACAGAATTGAAAAATTGATACAAGAAAACGAAATTTCTATTTTTGCCGCAGGGAATTCTTATCCTATTGCGTCTTTTAATGAATAAGCTCTGGTGACGTTTATCTCCTCAACAAATAAAATAAGTGGTATAAGTGGTATCAGCTTTTCTTGGGATGTTGACCTTTATTTTTTGTTTGTCGTAAAACAATGGTTCGGGGAACGTGTCGGTCCGTTTTTCTAGTCGCTTTTGTGGGAAACGTTTGCTCAGCTACGGCTTACGTAAGCGGGCAATTATTTTCTGTTTACGGTCGTGCATGTGTGCGCTCCGCGAGCGTTTTCCATGTTTGTAAAAGAAGGATGGAAATAAGTATATCATTGTAGACAAACGATGCGGGTGTGTTGCAAGTTATCGACGACATGTGTCGCTACAGTTGACATAGTTCGCAGTTTCGGGGAATTTCTTAGAGTTCACGCGTTATTGCTCGTCGTCGTTCGCAGGAATTAATTCGTTACGGAGTATTTAACATCGAACCGTTGCGTTTCTGCGATGCCTGCTACACTCGATCGGAAATCATATTTCACCAACTGTATCACGTTCGGCCGAAAATAAAATTGTATACACATAATCGAGTGCGCTGCTGAGTCAGCAGGAACAATAGTAGCGCGAACGGTTGAAAGTACGAAAATTGAATCGGTCGCGCATTAACTCCTGTTAAATGTCCGGATTTACGTCGAGCCAAGACGACTGAAAGCAAAAAAGTGTCTGCTTGTTAATCGCATAATCAAGAACGCAGGAAATAAGTGACGCAGAGAAACTCGTTTCAAGTGCAGCGGAATTTACTTTGCAGAATAATATTGCGAACAGTTTGCAGGCTTTTGCTGACGATTTCATTCGCATAGCTTAATTGCTTTGGAGAGTTCTGGAATTTAATTTATTATCTTGAGGATCGACGAGATGACTGAAAACAGGTATTTCTGATTTAGCCTCCGTAACAAAAAGTCTGCACCTAATCGCAAATAATTTGTACTGTATCGTGTTTCTTTTGTGAATGATGTTTATAATATGGAAGAAGCGATCAATATATGGTGTCAAAAATAATATTTTCGATATAACATTCTTTCATAATTAGAAGAAATATTATATCTCTCTAATTATATTTTGCGGACTTTTATGTAAATTCTCATTCGCATGAATTCTTTTATTAAAATCTGAAGAAGGAAAAGATTACTAACACTAACTAGAAAATCCCTTGAACGTAGAATAATAATATATTTTATTTTTACCAATATGCAGGTTCGCTTGTATTTTAAAACCTTGCATACCTTGTAAACCTTGCATATTAAAACCTTGTATCATAAATGCATAAAGACTCTCAGTCTGGTTATTATGAAACTGCAGAAATGCAGAAAAATTAGTATTCAAAGCTTTCATTTAATAAAATTGAATTAACAAAATTTTAGATAGCTGCAAATAGTCTGCCCTGTATTTCTGTGAACGTTATTATATCTTCGTAATCGTGTCATCATAAAAGTGAAAAAACCTTTTTTCATTGGAATTAAAGAAATCTTAATTATTAGCTTTAATTTTGAAAGATCACCTATGAAGATCACCTATTTAGGATAATGATTTAGAATATTTGTAGGATACCACAAATGCATAAATTTCTTGATATACAAAGTATTTGGAAAATTCCGAATTATTTGAAATCAAATGTTTGTAGCTTTTCATCAGAGTGTTAAATGAAAATCGCGTTCTGGAAGGAAGTATTCCAACTTTGGGGTCACGTAAACGTAATTGACGTATATATTTGTCTCTCGGTGATTAATACGATTCCCCGCGTTAAGGATTATTAGCATCGATTTGTTCTATCCGACTGCGTAATTGGTTTTGACCTTGACGGTTTCAAACAATTTCTCAAACAATGTTGCTCTGTGGATGTCGTGCCCATGGACTGTGAAAACGAATCGATATGGCTGACAATGTGCGTCGACAATAGTGGGAGACAATAGTTTGGATCGGTATTGCTGTGCGAGGAATAATAAGCCGGAAACTTGTTCTGTTGTTGACAGGGTTACTTAACAAAGTGTACGTATTAATTCAATGAATTATTGTTGTTTGTTAGCACCAAGAAACGCTGCAGATATTGTTCGTTTCACGATCGATGAACACATTGGACTTTTCTTAATTAAAGAAATTCGAGTCATTAGGAAATACACCGTACAATCAAGCATCCATGGATTCTTATTTTTCATTGTATGTACATTAATTTCTTGATTGCAAAATTTCGAAAACGCATTCCATAGTGGGTCATAATTAGACCGCAAAATCAAAGAGTCTTCTACATTAATACTAGATTGGATTTACTCAGAGTTTATCGCAAAATTTCTCATAGAAAGGTTTCTATAATTTCAATAGTGAAAGACAAAGTCAGAAATCATTCGTTTTGTCTGGTTTGGTAGTTTTGGTGTTCATTGCAAGGAACAGGATTACAATAAATATATATTTCTTCGTTTAATAGTTTCAGTAAGTTTTTATAAATACTCAAAATACACAATTTAATTGTAACGAACTTTAGAAAGTTTTAGACAGCTTCAAATGTTAGTTTAATATTTCTACAAATGTCATTAAGTCTTTTTTACTACATTACTATAAAAATTGTTAAAAACTTTTTTATTGCAGTTAAAGTGTCTTTTTCAACAATATTTGGTCTCGGTAGAGTTTAAGAGACAGTTGAAATTTAATATGTTTACCTGTCTGTTAATTATTAATTGTGATTTCGATCCAACTAATTTTCGCGAGCCAGTGATTATTTTTAAAATCAGCGCTCTAGTGTTCACTGCGCGAGACTGTTGACTATTATATGAATAAGTGATGCGTTATACTATACTAATTACAGACTATAACACTGTGTGTGTGTGTGTGTGTGTGTGTGTGTGTGTGTGTGTGTGTGTGTGTGTGTTCACATGTTACATAAAATTATATAAAATTTAGCTATAAATAGCAGCTATCAAATTTCTACTATTTCAGAGAAAATTGTTTTTAAACAATCTTGAAACAATATTTAAATGTTGCTATTAAGAAATATGTTATTAAGATGATGTTATTAAGAAATATATTCATGCATTTGAGAGAATGTATACATACATAGAATGATCCTACATAAGAATCATTCGTGTAGCTTTTACATTTTAACCAGAATAAATTCTCTTTGGAAACTCGACTTCTTTCCAAAAATTAAATCTTTTAAAAACTAATGAAGAAAGACGATTTCCAAAATATGCCTTACAAACTAGCTCGTAGATCAAAGAAATTCAGAGAGTTCATTCACTTCGGTATAAGAATTTCTCTTATCACATGCTTATAGAATTCGATATACATAGTTGGTTAGCATGATTATCGATATCACCGAATGTGGACGGTTCGTCACGTGATTGTGATTAGTAATCGCGACAAGGGACGTCCGTGTCATGCAACTTTTTGATGCGTCGGTACCGATTGCGCCTATCTATGTATACACGGCGAAGATATCTAGGACCGGTTCGACAGCGAAACAGGTATCTGCCGTTGTCGAAGCAAGTTTCGTATGGCGCAAACGAGTATTCGATTTATTCGAGTACTCGATTTCCGAATCGAGTAATGATCGATCTTTCGAGTCGAGCAATGCTCGATCTTTTGAGCTACTTGAAATCGATGGACTGCCCAAAAAAATGCGATACTTGAAAAATCCAAGCTATTCGAATACTCACACATGCTGTAGTTTATAAAGCAAGTTAATTAAATTATAGCGTCGTATGAGTGGGTTAAAATTGTGGTGGCATAAGTTACAATTGCCTTATTGTGTGAAGCACGGAGTGTTATTGTTTACTAACGTATGTATTGTTTACTGACCAAATTTCTTGTTAAGATAATTTACAGTTAAGTTAACTTATAGTAACTTTATCATTTATTTCATTTATCTTTTAACATTTTGGCATGTATAAATTACATTTTAAGATATAAGTCAACATTTTCGAAAATGTGACTTACGCCGCTAAAATTCTAACCCACTCATATAGTGCTTGATAATTCTACATACAATACAAATGTAAATATTCGAGTAATTCAAGTAATTCGAATATTCTCGAGCAACTAGAAAATTAGAGATCTGTTCGAACATATTCGAGTTATTTGAAAATTTTCGGAGTGAAATTTTTTTTTTATTTATTCAATAAATAGGAAAACCCTTAGAAGTAAGTGTTATAGAGTCATTCGCAGGTAGATAAAGCGCAATAGGTATTCATATTGATGAAGACGTGATTTATACAATTCTGTTCGCCATAAAGTGTACGGTGGTTTTCGTGTCGAAGAAGTATTTTCGATTTAATAGAAGTTGCTGAACAACTTAAACAAAATAAAGCCAGTAATTTCGGGTAGACAATGAAGCTATTAAGTAAATACCTTGTGAGCAAAGATAATGTCATGTATTAAGATATTGCGTCTCCTTTCGAGCGGTAAGAGATTAAACTTGGTTTGATGCGCAATGTGATTCCCATCAAATAATGGTATAGGACATCCCATTGCGTAGGATGGTCAAACGTAGAAAGTCATGCTGAACAGTTTCAATCTGATTAGATAGATAACTCTGACAAGGAGATCGGATTAGAGATGTATATTCCAGAATAGGACGAATGAATGAGGAATACAGTAATCTCAGAGCATTTACATTCTTAAAAAAGCCTAAAGACTCTTGTACAAATCCAAAAGCTTGAAAAGTCTTACTTGTTATATTTTGTATATGCATTGCAAAAGACAAATCAGTCGAAAAGTTGGACACCCTGATCTCGAACATCCGTGCAATAAGTTAAATTAACATAGCCCAAAGTGTGATCATATCTAAACGTACTGTTCTTAAGCGAGAATCTATTTACAGTGTACTTAGCGCGAGACATTAAAAGATAATTTGTATCGTCGCACCATCTCTGAAGGTTGCGTAAGTCTGATTGTAAAAGTATCGCGCTACGGGGAGATTCAATGGAGTAATATCTTCAGTGAGATATCTTCGGGTCATTCGTAAACAATAAGAAAAGGCTGTACTTGAAGCAATTGGATATATCGTTTATGAATAATAAGAAAAGAGAAGAAGCTTTAAAGGCGTTGAATGCATCTTCAAGAGTAGCTTGCATTATTTCGAACAGTTCGTAGATTTCGAGTAACTTGGAATATTCAAACGATCAACTTGGCTCGAGCAATTTCGTTCAGCTCGGCTCGTAAAATTTGAGTGCGCGAGTACGCATATGTACTCGCACACTTCTAGTTTAGAATCCCCTCGCAGTAGAAGTTCGGAAATCGCGCGGTCATTTAAACGAAAAACAGCGTCATCTGGGGATTCGTCGGGCCGAGATGTCCGCATAGTGCGTCAATCGTTGTAGGTGGTACTGTGAATCAGTTACGGGGAAAGAGGAAATGAGTCACGAGCCAGGCCCGTTTATTTGTGACGTAAACACCACTTCTGTATCGATGCCGTGTTTTCGCGACTCGCCATGAATCGTCACGTTATGACGTTCCCGGCGTTCGCGAGGGAATGCGACTTCGATGTTGTTCGTGCTTGCTCGCCGTTCGACGGTATTTTCTCGAACCGCGGCTTCCAATGTCACGCGTTACGGTTCGGACGGTGACTATTAACCTTTTGCACTCAAAGCACTTTAGTTCTAAATCGAAAACAGTTTTTCTCTCTCTCTCTCTCACACTGACAGTATTTCTATTTTAATTACTTATTCAATTGACGGAAATAGAAATTTTTCCATTATAAATATAATTACAAATATTATATACAACGAGATCCTTACGGTGACGATAATGCGATAATATAAAAAGATGATAAAGTAAAGTAAACAAGAGCATGTAATGCAAAGTGAAGAACAAAATATTGCAGGAAAATAGGAAAATGGAAGCTGTAATAATGATTTCGAATCATTTATATTATTTCTGC